ATCCATGGCTGTTTTTATTTTGTTGCCTTTCAATTTTTATTGCTACGTTGCTGTAGGGAGCTTTGCTTTAGAGTTTCTCTAAAATCCATGGCTGTTTTTATTTTGTTGCCTTTCAAATTTTATTGCTACGTTGCTGTAGGGAGCTTTGCTTTAGAGTTTATCTTAAATCCATGGCTCTTTTTATCTGTTGCCTTTCAATTTTTATTGCTACGTTGCTGTAGGGAGCTTTGATTTAGAGTTTCTCTAAAATCCATGGCTGTTTTTATTTGTTGCCTTTCAAATTTTATTGCTACGTTGCTGTAGGGAGCTTTGGTTTAGAGTTTCTCTAAAATCCATGGTTGTTTTTTTGTTGACTTTTAATTTTGATGGCTACATTGCTGTAAGGAGCTTTGCTTTAGAGTTTCTCTAAAATCCATGGCTGTTTTTATTTTGTTGCCTTTCAATTTTTATTGCTACGTTGCTGTAAGGAGCTTTGCTTTAGAATTTCTCAAAAAATCCATGGCTGTTTTTATTTTGTTGCCTTTCAATTTTATTGCTCCGTTGCTGTAAGGAGCTTTGCTTTAGAGTTTCTCTAAAATCCATGGCTGTTTTTATTTTGTTGCCTTTCAAATTTTATTGCTCCGTTGCTGTAGGGAGCTTTGCTTTAGAGTTTCTCTAAAATCCATGGCTGTTTTTATTTTGTTGACTTTCAATTTTGATGGCTATATTGCTGTAAGGAGCTTTGCTTTAGAGTTTCTCTAAAATCCATGGCTGTTTTTATCTGTTGCCTTTTAAATTTTATTGCTCCGTTGCTGTAGGGAGCTTTGCTTTAGAGTTTCTCTAAAATCCATGGTTGTTTTTTTGTTGACTTTCAATTTTGATGGCTATATTGCTGTAAGGAGCTTTGCTTTAGAGTTTCTCTAAAATCCATGGCTGTTTTTATCTGTTGCCTTTCAAATTTTATTGCTCCGTTGCTGTAGGGAGCTTTGCTTTAGAGTTTCTCTAAAATCCATGGTTGTTTTTTTGTTGACTTTCAATTTTGATGGCTACATTGCTGTAAGGAGCTTTGCTTTAGAGTTTCTCTAAAATCCATGGCTGTATTTATCTGTTGCCTTTTAAATTTTATTGCTCCGTTGCTGTAGGGAGCTTTGCTTTAGAGTTTCTCTAAAATCCATGGTTGTTTTTTTGTTGACTTTCAATTTTGATGGCTACATTGCTGTAAGGAGCTTTGCTTTAGAGTTTCTCTAAAATCCATGGCTGTTTTTATCTGTTGCCTTTCAAATTTTATTGCTACGTTGCTGTAGGGAGCTTTGCTTTAGAGTTTCTCTAAAATCGATGGTTGTTTTTTTGTTGACTTTCAATTTTGATGGCTACATTGCTGTAAGGAGCTTTGCTTTAGAGTTTCTCTAAAATCCATGGCTGTTTTTATCTGTTGCCTTTTAAATTTTATTGCTACCTTACTGCAGGGAGCTTTGCTTTAGAGATTTTGTAAATTCCTTCTTTAATTATCCACCTTGCGTATTGTTTTTTATTGCTATCTTACTGTAGGATTTTTTGCTTCAGATTTTCTTAAAAAACTCTTTTTTTGTTCAAATTAAATTGTCATTAAGTTTTTTTCTATAGCATCCTGTTGGAGCGTATCAAAAAGTTTCTCCAAAATCTTTATTAACTTCTACTTGCTTGCGTATTGATTTTTTTTTTTTATTTTTGTCGGCTTTGGTTGACAAAATTCATAATTTAATCCTAGTCATTAATCGTTGTTGTCTCTTATTATTGGTTGATTGCTATTTTCATCTAGTTTTCCAGGGTTTTGTGCCTTTATACCCTCAGATGACAAAAATGCAATAGGCAGTTGATTAAAAATATATATTTGCAGGGTATTAATCCAAAGATTTCATGATTTCAGTCAATTTTTGCATGTATTTTTGTCACCACAATATAAGCTTTTCTTGGTGGGTTATTAAACGTTCCTAGAGAATATTCCAAATTCTCAAGCCTGCGAGTTGCTTTTTTTTGGTAAGTGGCCCTGCCCTCTTCCATGTCCCTTTTTGTGTAATAGAAAAAGCACCCCGAGATGTTTATCTTGAAACTCCAAATATTTATGTAATTTATTTCACTGAGGCTGCTCCCTGTTCACCACCTTCAAACAAAAGTATATCCACAGGACAATGGGTTCGGGAGATTGCGCGAGAACGCTACAAAATTATGGCTCTGTGGAATACAACAGACACAACTCTAATCCCGCACAACCAAACTGCCAATCACGCGCCCATACTCCTTTAAGGTCATTTTCGTTCCACCAAAGTGCTCACTTCCGGGCATCAAAACTGATGCATCAAATAAACCTTTCATCGCAGTAAGACCATTGAGGTATCATTAGAGAAACTGACTTCTAAGCTCTTAATAATTATATATACAACCAATTAAAATGATCAAATGACAATGGCTAATATCAAGACTGCACAGAAAACCGAAAACAACGTTTTGGATCGAAAATCACTAGAGAGGCGAAACCAAATAGCCAATCACGCGCCAATACTCCTTTTAGGTCATTCTCGATCCACCAAAGTGCTCAATTCCCGACAAAGTTTTCAAATGCTACATCAAAACTTATGCATCAAATAAACCTTTAATAACAGAAAGACCATTGAGATATCACTAGAAAAACTTCCAAATGCCTTTAAGCTTTTTATTGAAGTTACCAATTTTGACCGCGAAAAGCTTTTACTAAGGTTTGCGAACTTAGTTTTGCTTAAGACACAAAAAGCAAGCAGTCTCTGCAAGCCCCACTGTTTAAAACTAACCATGGTCTTCATAACATCAAATTCAGAACAAAAAATGCTTGAAATTTGTTTTAAAGCTCTTGGAATATTCAATGGAAGAAGTATGTGCTTGGAGGGGCGCCTTTGGAGGGGAACTCAGCCGCCTTGAACCTAGGTTTCGTAAGAGGGCTTCCTTCTTTTGAAGCAATGGAATGCTGTAAGGGGTAAGCACCTCAAAGAAACCAACAACACAGTCACCCTTTAGAAGCATGTACGACGGCACCTCTCTGTGTAGCTTTTAATTTTAAGGGATAAGACATTTCAGCTAAAAGTTACATTTTCATTAAATTTTCTAGGAGAAATTTTCGCTGTCGCAGACACCCAGTGGACACCGCAATAAAAGATGATGTCGATGCATCAGTAGCAAAGAGGCAAACGCACATGAAGGAAAGGTTTACCACATGAACCAAGTCTCTATACAGAAATCCAATACAGACACTTTCCTTGTTTGTAATCGTTTAAAGATTTTGCAGCCACAAGAACGTTGCAGAAAATTCCATTCCGTATGGCATGTAAACTTGATTTCTCACGCTCGGCCTTGTAACATCTCTTTGTAACTTGTCCAGTCGCCTTTAGCTCCCGAATGGAATGCCCCCCTTGCCCTTAATGTGCCGCTTATGTGCCGCCTAACTACCGAAATTGTTCGGCCTAACTGCCCAAAATTAAGTAGGGTAACTCTGAACGGAAAGCTGCAATTTGGAGCCATCTATTGTCGGGAAATGTACAAAGAAGTCTCTAAGTTAACCATAAACACACCCTCTTCGATCGCGTGGAACACAGGGCAATCGCGAGGCAAGCCTTGCTGGGGGGGGGGTGTGGACAACAAATTTACCTGATTATTAAACAATTACCTGAAATTCTTAACATGCTGAAGCAAACCTCTGCAATACTTTTTGTCAATCTAACGGTGTGGCATATAATTCGCAATTTTCAATTTTATATGATTATAACAGACTTTTATAATAGTTTTGTCAAATCTGTATATCGGGACGGGCAAGGATATACCTACCCGAGCCCGCACCATGGTTGCCGCCGAGGGACTAGAAAATTTTCGAATTTTGATGCTTCCAGTTCCCTGGAAAATACATTTTTTTTACCAAATTTTACTAAAGCAATCCTCTTAATCCTATTAAAAATTCTTTTATTTTTACAAACAAATTGAGCAGCAGATAAAAACAACTGGCAAAATTTCCCCGTGGTTTGAAAAATTCCATGTTGTCAGTTACCTCTGAAGCCAGGTAACAAGCAGCACTGGTTGTCAATTTAGATCCCTCTTTCCAACCTAGCATGCCTTTTGAATGTTACAAAAACCTGGAGCTCATTATGAATTGCAGTTGACGCTTCTACCGAGGAACTTTAGGGGAAATGGACACATGGCACAATTTTACCTAAAGAGGGCATGGATTATTAAATTTTGTGCCAACAAGAAATCTTCAAATCTTCAAATCATTAGTTTGTTTACCTTCCTTCATATCAAGAAAAATCATATTTAACCAAAGGAGCAACTACCTTTGCTTATTCCTTTATTGATCTTAAGCATGACGGTCTCTGAAATTCCTAAAGCGTTGCTTCCACTGGGCGGACTTTACCTGAAATTTCCTATCCAGATGCTATTGAGGAGGTGTGACACCCTTCAGTCGCGACGCCCCTAGTAATATTGAACCCCTTTCCTACTTACAACCCTGCATCCTTAGTAAATGTATATTCTGAAGCTACTTAGCACCCTTATTGCCCTCTCAAACTCTCCTTTTTAAACAGTGAACGACAAGTGTCGTCTAACTACAGCGAAAAGATGCCCATCTCCATCGGGAGCATTCCCCATCATTGATACATTGTTTATGTTCTCCTTTTAGGTTCGGCCTTGTCAATTGCCACCCTCAACAAATTAAGAGAGTATTTTGAGATGAAGCTTTAGAAATTGTCTATTGAATTTCTTTTGTTTGAAGTGAGAATCTTTTGAATTGTTGGTTTTTAGGAAAGATAATTGATACTCGCTCATCCAAAAGGTTAAAGTAAACGTCCTTTTGTGGAATGGTAGCATGGATTGAGATAAATATTGCTTATTTTCTGTGTATTTTTCCTGTTTTGCGTTTAAAAGATATTTGATATTCCAGCCGGCCCGGCCCTCACCTCTCAGTGTTTTCACAAAGAGAGGCTTTTGTCTGAAATTGAATGGCCAGTGTTTCAGCTAGAAGTTGCATTATTGGCGAAACCATAAACAGTATCAAATTTTAGTTTCCACCATTAGGTGCGGGAGGTTGCGGCCGTCCTTGTGGTATTTCGTTTTGTCGAATAGGACCGATTTAAGCAAAGTTATTTGACTTTTTCTTGGCTGAGAGCAAGGGGGATTCAGGTTTACATAAAGGCGTTCAGAAAAAACAATAGGCTTGTGATTCCCCGAGTTTCTGAAGACTTGGGTTTTTAGCGATTTACACAAAAAGTATCACAGTTACAAGTTTTTTAGTGCATTCATGAGATGGGCCGTTCGATGCTCGATTTTTTGAGCTATTTCCCGTAATTTTGGGACCTGTTTATGCTGAGTTATTGAGGATTTAGTGATTAAAACACGCAAAAAACGGTTTTTTGCAGTTTAAAAATCGAAAACAGCCGATAAAAATTCTGCGAGGCGTTCAAAATATCGCTGATTTTTTGCTCGATTTTTTGAGCTATTGCTTGTCTTGTTTGAAGCTTGCGTTACTGAATTAACTCGATTTTTCCGAAAAGTGCACTTTTCAAATTTTCTCAAATTTGCATCGCAGCGACCGATCAAGCTCAAACCGGTAACTGCGGCGGCGGTCAAAACTTTTTCTTGAAAAATGGTGTTTAATTGGAATTTAAAAACAGGAAAAGTCTGTGAACGGGTAAAAGAGCTTCCTGGATTCGATTTAAATGCATTTAAAGTTGCATTTCATGATTTTTTAAAGTTTCGATACATTTGCCCCAATTAAACACCGTTTTTCGTTTCCTTTTGTCGAATGGGACCGATTTTTGCAAAGTTATTCAACTTTTTCTTGGCTGAGAGCAAGGGGGATTCAGGTTTACATAAAGGCGTTCAGAAAAATCAAAAGGCTTGTGATTCCCCTAGTTTCTAAAGACTTGGGTTTTTAGCGATTTACACAAAAAGTATCACAGTTACAAGTTTTTGAGTGCATCCATGAGATGGACCGTTTGATGCTCGATTTTGTGAGCCGTTTCCCGTAATTTTAGGACCTGTCTTTGCCGAGTTATTGAGGATCTAATGATTAGAACAAAAGAAATGGAAATTCCCAAAGAACTGTGAAAATCAGACAGTTTTGAGAGTTTCTTGACCGAACAATCCGATCGGGCGACGGGCGGCTAGCAACATTGGGGCAAATGTATCGAAACTTTAAAAAATCATGAAATGCAACTTTAAATGCACTTAAATCGAATCAAGGAAGCTCTTTTACCCGTTCACAGACTTTTCCTGTTTTTAAATTCCAATTAAACACCGTTTTACGTTTCCTTTTGTCGAATGGGATCGATTTTTGCAAAGTTATTCGACTTTTTCTTGGTTGAGAGCAAGGGGGATTCAGGTTTACATAAAGGCGTTCAGAAAAAACAATAGGCTTCTGATTCCCCAAGTTTCTAAAGACTTGGGTTTTTAGCGATTTAAACAAAAAGTATCACAGTTACAAGTTTTTGAGCGCATCCATGAGATGGACCGTTTGATGCTCGATTTTGTGAGCCGTTTCCCGTAATTTTAGGACCTTTCTTTGCCGAGTTATTGAGGATCTAATGATTAGAACAAAAGAAATGGAAATTCCCAAAGAACTGTGAAAATCAGACAGTTTTGAGAGTTTCTTGACCGAACAAGCCGATCGGGCGACGGGCGGCTAGCAACATTGGGGCAAATGTATCGAAACTTTAAAAAATCATGAAATGCAACTTTAAATGCACTTAAATCGAATCAAGGAAGCTCTTTTACCCGTTCACAGACTTTTCCTGTTTTTAAATTCCAATTAAACACCATTTTTAAAGAAAAAGTTTTGACCGCCGCCGCAGTTACCGGTTTGAGCTTGATCGGTCGCTGCGATGCAAATTTGAGAAAATTTGAAAAGTGCACTTTTCGGAAAAATCGAGTTAATTCAGTAACGCAAGCTTCAAACAAGACAAGCAATAGCTCAAAAAATCGAGCAAAAAATCAGCGATATTTGAACGCCTCGCAGAATTTTTATCGGCTGTTTTCGATTTTTAAACTGCAAAAAACCGTTTTTTGCGTGTTTTAATCACTAAATCCTCAATAACTCAGCATAAACAGGTCCCAAAATTACGGGAAATAGCTCAAAAAATCGAGCATCGAACGGCCCATCTCATGAATGCACTAAAAAACTTGTAACTGTGATACTTTTTGTGTAAATCGCTAAAAACCCAAGTCTTCAGAAACTCGGGGAATCACAAGCCTATTGTTTTTTCTGAACGCCTTTATGTAAACCTGAATCCCCCTTGCTCTCAGCCAAGAAAAAGTCAAATAACTTTGCTTAAATCGGTCCTATTCGACAAAACGAAATACCACAAGGACGGCCGCAACCTCCCGCACCTAATGGTGGAATCTAAAATTTGATACTGTTTATGGTTTCGCCAATAATGCAACTTCTAGCTGAAACACTGGCCATTCAATTTCAGACAAAAGCCTCTCTTTGTGAAAACACTAAGAGGTGAGGGCCGGGCCGGCTGGAATATCAAATATCTTTTAAACGCAAAACAGGAAAAATACACAGAAAATAAGCAATATTTATCTCAATCCATGCTACCATTCCACAAAAGGACGTTTACTTTAACCTTTTGGATGAGCGAGTAAAAATTATCTTTCCTAAAAACCAACAATTCAAAAGATTCTCACTTCAAACAAAAGAAATTCAATAGACGATTTCTAAAGCTTCATCTCAAAATACTCTCTTAATTTGTTGAGGGTGGCAATTGACAAGGCCGAACCTAAAAGGAGAACATAAACAATGTAACAATGATGGGGAATGCTCTCGACGTAGATGGGCATTTGAACACCGCTCGAAAAGAAGTGTATCGGAGAGTCTGAGGGGGCAAGTTGCTAAGTAGTTTCAGATTATACATTTACTAAGGATTCAGGGCTGGGGTAGGAAAGGGGCTCAATTTTGCATTGACCTATGATTCACGCGATCGAAGTGGTTGTTTATCGTTAACTTAGGGACTCCTTTACATATTTTCCGACAATAGATGGCTCCAAACAGCAGCTTTCTATTCAGAGTTACCCTAACCCTACTTAATCTTCGGCGTTTAGGCGGCACAAAAGCTTCAAGGGCAAGGGCCTTTACAAAGGCGAATGTGAGAAATCAAGTTTACACGCCATGGGGAAAGAAATTTCCGGCAACACGTTTCTATGCATAGAAAATCTTTAAAATTTAAAACGATAAACAAACTAGGAAAAAGTGTCTGTATTGGGTTTCTATGTGGAGATTTGGTTCATTCCCTAAACCTTTTCTTCACTTGCGTTTGCCTCTTTGCTACTGATGCATCGACATCATCTTCTGTTGCGGCGTCCACTGGGTGTCTTCACCTAAGAAACCAGTCAGCATTCACCTAAAAATTTAATGAAAATGTCACTTTTGGCTGAAATGTCTTATCTTTTTGAATTGACAGATACACAGAGAGGTGACGACTGACGTCGTACATGGTTACAAAGAGTGACTGTGCTGCTGGTTTCTTTGAGATGCTTGCCCCTTACGGCATTCCATTGCTGAGATTTAACGAAGACACTTCTAAGAGGAGCAAAACAGAATCAATCCTGGAAAACTTTCAGCCATAAAAAGAGATTGGTTCACATACAAATCTGCTCACGAAGGAATTTGTTTTTGAAGAAGGAAATCCTCTTACGAATTTAGGTTACGGCAGCTGAATCCCTTTCAAAGGCGACCCTTTAAACACATACTTCTTCCATTAAATATTCAACCTTCCTGAATATTTAATTTTATTGAACTTCTTCCTGAATTTGATGTTATAAAGATCATAGTTTGTTTTAAACAGCGAGGGTTGCAGAGACTGCTCGCTTTTTTTGTGTCGTTAGCAAACAGAAGTTCGCAAACTCATTCAAAGCTATTCATAAGCAAAGTTGGCAACTTCAATAAAGAGCTTAGAAGTCGTTTGAAAGTTTTTCTAATGATATCTCAATGGTCTTTCTGTTATTAAAGGTTTATTTGATGCATAAGTTTTGATGTAGCATTTGAAAACTGTGTCGGGAATTGAGCACTTTGGTGGATCGAAAATGACCTAAAATAAAAGGAGTATTGGCGCGTGATTGCCTATTTGGTTTCGCCTCTCTAGTGATTTTCGATCCAAAACGTTGTTTTCGGTTTTCTGTGCAGTCTTGATATTAGCCATTGTCATTTGATAATTTTCATTGGTTGTATTTATAATTATTTGACCTTGATCATTGATAATTTTGCAAAAAATCATCATTAGTGACAAGTTGCGATTTCCTGCTTGTACAACAGTTTGCTGATGCCTGAGATCGAGGGGCGATTCACTCTTGCAAATAGCGTACGAGATTTAGCCTAAAACAAAAGGATTTCTAGAGATTTTCAGATAAAAAAATAGGATTTTCACAAAAGGTGTACGAGATTTTCTTAGAGTGATTTGTCCCTCGGTTGAGATAATAATTTATCAATGACTTGTACGGCATTCAAGTTGTATCTGTATACCCCAGAGGCATCAATTTTGTTGCGTTCTTGCGCAATCTCCCGACCCCATTATTCTGTGGATATACCTTTGTTTGAAGGTGGTCAGCAGGGAGCAGCCTCAGTGAAATGGAACAAATAAATATTTGAAGTTTCAAGATAAAAATATCGCGTTAAGGGGTGCTTTTCTTATTACGCAAAAGGGGGCATGCTTGGGAATATGGAATATTCTCTAGGAGCGTTTAATAACCCACCCAGAAAGGCTTATATTATGGTGACAAAAAACATGCATTTCTTGCATCCATTTGATACCAAAGGTTTTGGTTTTTTTTCTTACGTGAACAGAGACAGGCGGAAATGTCATCCTTTTGGGGTTTAAGG